GTCAAAACAAGATTAAACTTGTTATTGTTCGGGATCAAACTCAGGTCACTCGAGTGACAGGCAGGAACGCTAACCCTTGTATTACAACGACCTCAGGGACATAATAACTAGAGTGACAAGCGGAAATCCTCCCCACTGTTCCACTAAAACAACTCATAAATAATAAATTATTTGTTAATTCTCCAGATTTTACCAATCGTCTTTAGAAAAAGTGATCCATTGTCAACGCTCTAGATTTTATCAATCGAAGATTCGTTTACCAATCGTCTTTAGAAAAAGTGATCCATTGTCAACGCTCTAGATTTTATCAATCGAAGATTCGGAAGAAGTAATTCTTTAGAAAAAGTGATCCATTGTCAACGCTCTAGATTTTATCAATCGAAGATTCGGAAGAAGTAATTCAATTTCAAATGCGGTGCAAATTTTCAAAAGAAAATTAAGTTTATTATTGTCGGGGTTCAAACTCAGGTCTCTCAAGTGACAAGCGGGAATACTCACTACTGTATTACATCGACCTCTGAAAAATATATTATTTGTTAACACACGAGAGAAAAAGGAATCAAATCCCGAATTTCGTTGTTGGGAAACCAACCCAAATCATCCGGTTCACCACTACCGAATTTGGAATTCAATAGAAAATTAAAAATCGTCGTTGCGGGGGATCAAATTGGTGGGAGTACTCACCACTCTCCAACGACGACTTTCAAAAAAATATAATATTTGTTAACAAACAAGATTTTATCCATCGCCGTTACAAAAAGTAATTCAATTTTGAATCCGACTAAAATGGTAAAAACAAGATTAAACTTGTAATTGTTCAGGATCAAACTTGGGTCACTGAGTGACAAGCAGGAATGCACGCCCTTTTACTTCAGCGACCTTTGGAACATAATAACTCGAATGACAAGCGAAAATACTCCCCATTGTACCACTAAAACGACTCATAAAAAATAAATTATTTGTTAAAGCTCCAGATTTTACGAATTGCCTTTAGAAAAAGTGATCCATTGTAAACGCTCTAGATTTTATCAATCGAAGATTCGGAACAAGTAATCCTATTTAGAATGCGGTGCAAATTTT